AGGTTGTGGCCCCAGGTTAGATTTAGACGGAAATCTGTGGGATTGCCTCATGTCACTAAGCAGGAGGTTGGTGCTGCTTTCTATGGCGAACCAAATCATTTCTAATGTGTTTATCCTCGTTGGTGAAGCCACAGGCTCTCGGGAGAGGGGGGGGGGGAATGAAGCAACGTCTAAATGTACAAATTCAGCCTTAATAAATTGAAATAAATAAATAAAAATTCTCCTAATTTCCACATGTTCACTTGGACCTGTCTCCATCTGCTGTCACCTCTAATTCTTGTCAACCTTTTGCAGTAACTGAACACACACAGCAGTGACCTGGAGCAGGAGTCCAAAAATAAATCCCCTCACTCGCTCATTTGCTTAGAATCGAATTTTGCCTCTCAGGAGCCAAACATCAAAGTAAATGCAGAAGTGGTTTTGACTGTCTGGTTTCTGGAATTTGGCAGCTTGGATTTACTGGCTGCACAGCCTGTGTTTTTTGCACTTAGTTTTGTTTTGTTTTTTTTAAGTAAGACCAGGTCATGGCAAAAACTCTAAGGTTTAGGTTAAGGTTAAGGTTCCACTTAAACGCGGGGTAGGCCAAACAATTCAAGAAAATAACCATTTAGTAAACTGCAATTCAAGTGCTCTGAGAGGGAATCAAACTGTTTTCAGACTTTACCAAATCTACCTCCTGGCATGAGTTTCTGAGTTCTATTACTACAGTTTTTCTCGTTTCGTGGTTGTTTCGGAAGTATTACCCAATCATCTGCAAAGTTTATATACACACATATTAAAAAGGCAGAGCCCACGGTGATTCACCTGCCTTTGGTGAAACACTTCATTGACGTAACAAGATCTTCGATGTACTGCCAGAATCATACAAATGAAAATGACGAATAGAAAAATAGCTTAACCTAATAATTTTAGCAGTAGTTCAAAAGACAGTGGATCACTTTTGAATTTACAGACCAAATTTTGCTATTTTTTAAAAGTCTCCAGGCAAAGACCGCAATTTCCCAGTGCCTGATCATCCTGCCATCTCCCCAAGAACAGATGCAGTTGCTGTGGAGCAGAAGGGTATTAACATTCTCTCATTAGGAGAGCACTATCCACTTCTAAAATGCATGCTGTGGCCCAAACACAAAAATTAAAACAGCATTATAACTGTAGATTACACACACACACACACACACACGCACCAGGGAGTTTATTTTAGGAGAGGATTTATCCTACTATAATTAGTGAACATAAGTGGCCAGGTATGATAAGTCATAAGTCAACTGCATTTCTCTTTTTTTCTTTAGGCTTATAGTTGAACTAATTTATTCTGTTTTTAAATGCTAATCCTCCACTCTTCAACGTTCCCTTCCCACACACAGCAGTATTTTACTGACAAACACATACACCGGGTCAAAAAGAAAATAACAGTTGTCTCCCTGCAAACACACAGTCACATTTAACTATGACAGAAAATCATACTTCTGTTTTTTCTTATTTTGAGATGATGACCGACCTAAACCCACATGCCCACATATGCACACGTGTAGGCAAACAAAGCTATGTAGCAACTTGATATGAATTGTTTTAGTATTATTTTTTATTATATTATGATGTTTGGCCTTGTGGGAATCTGTAATATTCGTTGAAAAATGTTTTTACCATACCATTTCATAAGTCACATGCAAGATTTTTAATAGTTGTGAACTATCCAGGGAATTTTTGTTCCCTGGTAAATACAGATTTTGTTCTATTTTGGGATTTATAAAAGGGGACACAACCAGGTGATGCTTGAGGAAAGACAAGTCATACAGTAGTCATAGTCAGAATCTGCATAATGACATACACCAGCCTTCCCTTTATGGCTTGTAAAGAGATTTGTCTGCTCAGCTGAGTGGAAAAAAATGTAAAAATCAACCTCAGCATCTGGATTGAAGTTAGATTGGACGAATACTGACTCAAATCATCTGCAAGCTCTTGTGTTAAACTTGTCCAATGAATAATATTATATAAAATCTGTCTAAAAGTGTTGAAAACCAATTTTTTCAGCTATTCTTCATCCATTCGTATTACCTCTTGCTATCTCCTTGGTGATTCTTTTCACCTATATTTCATCAAAGGAAAACAAAAGCTGATTTTTTTTTTTTTAAATTTAAGCCTTTAATTCGTTCTCCATCCTCAGTCCTCGAGATCTTCTTACATCTTTCCCTTTTGGATCTCCTATTATTCTCACTGTAGTCTCCCCAACCTGTATTTAAATACCTCCTCCCTCTTTCTTTTCCTTCAGACATCACTTGTGCGAAGGCAGATCAATCCTTTAGCGCCTGTTTCTTTTTCTCCTCCTTCTGTCCCTCCAGCGCAGCAGAGGGCCTACATCTCATATTCCATTTTTACTATTTCATGTATAATGCAGTAGGTCCCTTCATCAAAGTGAAAAAATGTCTGTCAGAGCAGAGGGCAGGCCAGAGGTTTAGAATCAAAAAGAAGCACTGAGGGGTCGGACAGCTGAAAGACGAGCTGTCCGACCTCCATTGAACCAAAATACATTTCTTTGTTATTTCTTATCATCTGAACACGAGGTTGAATATTTTTGCAACAATACACAACATCTGAAATATTAACCAGCATTTCTTGTGCAATGTTAAGTTAATCCTTGTTTACATGTTTGTGTAGGCTACACAGAAACAAACAAATGAAATCATCTTAAATGTGCAGCTTTTGTCATATTTTAGAGTTGCCAGAGGTGAATGCAAAACACAGGGGGACGTTAGCTGGGTAACAAGAACAATCAGACTGGAAAAATAAAAAAGTAAAACTAACAGCAAAACACAAGTGATGGGGAACTATCAAAATAAAACAGGAAGAAACTCAACTGGGGATCACTAAACACGGAGATGAGGATTTAACAAGATACAGGAGGATACTGGAGAGGCTAGGATAATAAACCGGTACACACAGGATCAAATATAGATAGGCTGGAGTGGTAATATAATTGGAATTCTAAAATATTAAAAAACTCATTATAATAAAGTAAGAAATCAAAATCAACCAAACCTCTTGAAACTGAAAACAGTAATAAAGCCAAGTGTTGCAGTACGCTCCAGCAACACAAAAACCTAATCAAAAGTCAGTACTGAAGACTGGAAACAGCAAAATCTACAAACCATGACAGCTTTTTAAAAATGTATGAATGAGTAAATTAAACACAGAGGACACATTTTTAGTGTTGTCCACATTTTTCAACATCAACGAAGTTAAAAGAAAATTTAAATTGCAGGAAATGATGGAAGAAGAGTAACTTAGATCAACTTCATGATATGTAAATAAAGTATTTATTTATTTAGCAACTCTTAAGATTGAGGATATTTTCTGATAGAGTATCCTGTACTGATATCATCAAGATTGAAAATGCATGTTTTTCAAAGGCAGGGAAAACCAGAGCTACTAGAGGAAAGTCATGCAAACACAGCGAGAACATGCAAACTCCACACAGAAGCGAGCTCGTGACCCTCTTGCTGTGAGGCAACAGTGCAAGTCACCGAGCCACTGTGATGCTAACAAACAAACATGACAGAAGTGCTGCATTAGGTTTTGACTTTCTTTGACATTTTTGTCTCTTCCATCCACCTTGGAAGTAGGTCAAGTTGTGCAAGAGAAAGGATGAATGGTAGAAAAAATGTGTCTGAAAAGATTTTCAACCATTTTATGTTTATATTATGAAAAAATCACTAGAGGAGTATGTTTGTCAAAATGCTGAATACTGCATGTTATTATGAAACTTACCATCCATCCAGCTTCTTCTTCGTATCTAATTATGGGCTATCCCAGCTGTCACTGGTTGAGATGCAG